TTGTCTTTTTCATGAAGCCCTATGAGCTTGGTGTGGGCAACTTGATATAAAGTTCAGAGGACAATCTTCATACATGCAGCTGAGTGGGCTGCTAAAAAGCTCACCAAAATATCCAATAACATAATCAGAGACATTCAGACTGCAAAACAGAAAAATCAACAATTGCAACTGCCCTTTTATTCCATCATCAAAAGATGCTTTGAGCTTAAAATCTAAATATCTCCTCAACTAACTGCCCTTTGGGTTCAGATACTAAGTTTACAGATTGTTATAACCATTAACCTTTTTTTTTTTTTTTTTTTTTTTTTTTTTTTCCTGAGACAGAGTCTCGCTCTGTTGCCCAGGCTGGAGTGCAGTAGCACCATCTCGGCTCACTGCAACCTCAGCCTCCTGGGTTCAAGTGATTCATCTGCCTCAGCCTCACAAGCAGCTGGGATCACAGGCACCTGCCACCACTCCCGGCTAATTTCTTGTATTTTTAGTACAGACAGGTTTCACCATGGTGGCGAGGCTGGTCTGGAACTCCTGACCTCAACTGATGCACCCACTTCGGCCTCCCAAAGTGCTGGGATTAGAGGCGTGAGCCACCATGCCTGGCCTATAACCATTAACTTTTTATTTGTCTTATTTCGTTCATGGGCGCTTTGGCTGTGGGGTAATTCCCAGTCCCTTGATGTTTTCCTCATGAGGGTCATCATTTTAATCTTCCTGGTATGCTGTATTTTCTCCAGTCTGAAATGCAAATTCACAGCCATCACAGTTATCAGATTTTCTCCATACGATTAAAATGGCATAAACAAAGTGTCCAATAAAAGAAACACTGCTTTAAGAGACTAGAAATTGTAACTTATGCTGAGACAAAGACAACCAGCTCTGGTGGTGAGAAAGTGCTCCAAAGTGTGCCTGAGTGTTGGTCAATATCCCATAATTGAGAAGTGAAACAAAAGGGAGGAAATAGTTAAAATAATAAAATTGAAGTACATTAGGCTGAGGTGGCCCCAGCAAAATGGGCTTCTACCTAAGCACGCAGAAACCCAACTCATTGTAAATGGTAAAACAAAAGTTAGGTTTTTCTTTTTCTTTATACTTTAAGTTCTGGGGTACGTGTGCAGATCGTGCAGGTTGTTACATATCTATACACGTACCATGGTGGTTTGCTGCACCCATCAACCTGCCATGTAGGTTTTAAGCCCCACATGCATTAGGTGTTTGTCCTAACGCTCTCCCTCCCCTTCCCTCCACCCCTGACAGGCCCCAGTGTATGACGTTCACCTCCTTGTGTCCATGTGTTCCCATTTTTCAACTCCCACTTATAAGTGAGAACATGTGTTTAGTTTTCTGTTCCTGTGTTAGTTTGCTGAGAATAATGGTTTCCAGCTTCATCCACGTCCCTGATAAGGACACGAACTCATTGTTTTTTATGGCTGCATAGTATTCCATGGTGTATATGGGCCACATTTTCTTTATCCAGTCTATCATTGGTGGGCTGCTGGGTTGGTTTGAAGTGCTTGCTATTGTGAATACTGCTGCAATAAACATATGTCTTCATGTGTCTTTATAACAGAATGATAGCAAAGTCTTTGGGTATATACTTAATAATGGGATTACTGGGTCAAATGGTATTTCTGGTTTCAGATCCTTGAGTAATAACCACACTGTCTTCTACAATGGCGAACTAATTACATGCCCACCAACAGTGTAAAAGCGTTCCCATTTCTCCACATCCTCTCCAGCATCTGTGGTTTCCTGACTTCTTAATGATCACCCTTCTAATGGTGTGAGGTGGTATCTCCTTGTGGTTTTGATTTGCATTTCTCTACTGACCAGTGATGACGAGCTGTTTTTCATATGTTTGTTGGTCGCATAAATGTCTTCTTTTGAGAAGTGTCTGTTCATATCCTTCACGCATGTTTTGATGGGGTGGTTTGTTTTTCCCTTGTAAATTTGTTTAAGTTTCTTGTAGATGCTGGATCTTAGCCCTTTGTCAGATGGAGAGATTGCAAAAATTTTCTCCCTTTCTGTTGGTTGCCTGTTCACTCTGATGATAGGTTCTTAACAAAAGTTTACTTTAACCAATCAGAAATGATCAACTCACCTCTACATAGGAACTTTCTACTGGAATAATCCAAATAATGCTACTGCTCCACTTTAGCCACAAAAGTTTCTGTTTGCCTTACTTCCACATTAAATCAATAAAAGCCTTTCTCTCCTCTCATGTATACATAAGTGTATGTATACATATACATTGACACCTAAAATACACACACACACATATGTATACATATATATAAAATCAGGTAGCAATGATGATCCAACAAAAGAAATTGTAGGAATTGAATAAAACAATGTGACAGCAAAATGGGGAAATAAATTAGTGTAAGAAGGGTGGAGGAAATAACTAGAGGTTTGCAAAACAACATGTGAGTAATTTTTAGGGTAAGGGCCTTGGTATCAGTGACAAAGTGAAATGAATTTCAGTGTTGAAAGACAAAGGGCAGAGTGGAATGGTAGATGGATGACTCACATACTTCAAGAGTATGAAGTGAAAAGAAAGTTAACAAGGACTTTTTGAAGCAGAAAAATCCAAACTCTTCCTCATTTTCATATTTTTCTTCGCAATCACTGGACACTATGATGTCATGTCAACTTAAAATTCTTTGAACTTTGGTGATAAAGATTTAAAGTCCCTGGTTGTCAACAACACATTCCAATAATCATGTAACATCACTGACTTTTAAAACCTTAGTAGCTTCATTTATTTTTTCTAGGAAGATTAAGACCCTTTTCTTCCTACTATGTCATTTGTCTTTTCCTTTCTATGACTATTTCAAATTAAGTTCTGTTTATTCATTTAATTTTCTGATTTAGGGAAGCTTTTCAGATTGAAAATGAAATCACAGCTGCTAAGTCCCTTAGAAGCCATCTTAGAAAGTTAAAGGCTGCATGCTTCTTACTCATACAAGCACACAGCGTTAACAGCATCCTCTTGCCCTCTTGCACATTGGCAGTGCCTTCACTGTTAACCCCATCTCATTTTGTCCTCACTGCATTTCCATTTCTGTTACTTTATTTGATATGTAAGTTGGCTTCCTACAAGAAGTGAAATTCACTCTTTTACAGTAAGTGGACTGAAAGGCCTCTTGATGGCTAGTAGAATTCTTGAATCTACCTGTCTTCCCCTAGACACAAATCAACCTTCACTATGAAGATAAATGTGATAGACATCTCGGGTCATACAGTTGTGTTAGTATCAAAAACATCATACTTAAGTGCTTAACAGATGAACTAGACTATTTTGAATTTGATGTATTTATGAGACACATTGATTAACATGCCATACTGTACAATATTTTTATTTGCTTTATGCTATCATTATTCTATTATGAACAGTTGACTAAAATTTCTCAAATGCTTTTGAATAACAGTGGGATATTTTAATTAGTTAAATAGGTACTAATATCATAGGTCATTAAAGTGCTGGGAGAGTTATAATTGCAAAATCCTTTAATGGTGGCAAAACATAGGTACCTCTAATTTGCACAATTTTGTGACTATTTTAGTAAATAGAAAAGAGAAATGAGTAAGAGATCTAAACATCATTTCTTTTGACCATTTTTGTGAGTGAATCTATTACTTGCTTATTTCTCAGGCTGTAGATAATGGGATTTAATAAAGGAACTATGACAGTGTAAAATAGATACTCCATCATATCTTGGTCATCAGCCTGTGGGGAAGCAGAGCCCACATACATGAAGGCGAGGGGGCCATAGTATAAAGATACAGATAAGAGATGAGCTCCACAGGTGGAGAAGGCTTTTCTTATACCTTTCACAGACCTCTTTTTCAAGATTGTATAGAGGACAAATGTATAAGATATAAGAACAGTCCCAATGGTGAAAACTTGTGTTGAACCTGAGAAAATAAAAACCATGAGAAAATTAATAGAAGAATCAGTACAGGAAATTTTTAACAATGGGATAATGTCACAGTAAAAGTGATGTATTATGTTGGAATTACAGAAGGTTAATCTGTAAAAAAAACCTTCATGAATTACAGCATGAAGAAGGCCACCTAGAAATGACAAGACTAATAGCCGGATGCATAGTCTGTTGGTCATAATGACTGGATAAAGTAAAGGTTTGCATATGGCTACATAGTGATCATACGCCATTGTTGCCAAGAGAAAACATTCTGTGGTTACACCAATTGCAAAGGAAAAAAATTGTATCTTGCATTCAGAGAGAGATATGATCTTACTCTTAGCTAAGAAGTTGATCAGCATCTTCGGAGTCACTGTGGATGATAACAAAGCATCCACAAAAGCCAAATTCCCGAGGAATAAGTACATTGGGATATGAAGGTGAGGGTCTTTCCAGATGACAGCAATCAGGCCAAGATTCCCCATGATGGTGATGAGATATGTTACTAAGAATGCCAGGAACAGGGGTATTTTCCACTTTGGTTGATATAAAAATCCTGTGAGAACAAACTCTGTCAGCAATGTTGCATTTGCCTCTTCCATGCCCTCACTGCATGTCCTCTAAAATAAAATGCAACAAATGAAAGGGAACATTTGCAATGGCATTACGAGTTGAAATTGGGGAAGAGGTGTTGCAATGAAGTGTGCAATTATCAGAGCCCTCTTAATTTTTTGATCATTATTATAAATAAGAAATCCTATATTTAAGGTGTTAATGATATGAAAAAAATCATATATTATTGTTTGAAAATTGGGTAGTAATATGCATTCTCTGGATTCACTAAATTTATGTGCACACTCTTGAATGTGGTAGAACAATCCTGTGTCTGGTACATGAATGGAGGTCCTGGAGAAAAGGTTTTTGAAAGGTCTGAATGAAAATCAATGAAATAAATGCCATGTGAAGAATCTTACACTTTTTCATTATATAACTATGTACCAAATACTTTAAGATGGGAAATAGCATCCTAAAACAGTTTCTAAATTTTTTGATAATGTCGAAAATATGCTGTGGGATGGGGAAATTGGACTAAGGGGTACTAATTAGAAACTTGTTACTAAGGTCCCAGTAATCCCAAATCAAATCACAAATGAAAATTATCTGGAAAGTGTTTTATGAAAAATACAGATGAGATTTTAATGTAGAAATTGATTATTTCAGAAATGAGTTCTAGAAATCTGTCTTTAAAAATACCCTCAAGGTGATTCAAATGAGTGCTAGGTGTCTATTCCATGTGTGATATTACATTGGAAGAGATGATAAGACAAAGAAATAGATTCCAAAGAATTTGGAATGTAGATCCCCTAGTATTCTATGACATATTTGGTGGGAAACAAAAGGTAATAAAGGAGGTAAGAGTCACTTGGTGACTGGGTAGTTGGTCATTAAATATTGAGGATGGGAACTCAGATGTGCTAGCAAGTTCTTGGAGTGAGTATCCTGCAGCCAACTAGGTAAATCCAATCAGTAATATGAGCCTGTTAGAGCTTAACAGAAATAATTACTTGGAATTATTGTGGCAGTCAAAGGCACAGTTAAGAATGATGTATCCATTGGAGAGTAACAAATAAACAAAAAGATTGGCAAGAAAATCAACTGGAGCAAGTTATGTTAAAGAGGTAACAAAGTGGACATATGTCCCGTAAATAGCCAAGATGTGATCTTTTTTTGCCATCCATGTCCTGGCAGCTGTCAGAGGATACCTACTGCTCTACAAGCCAAAAGAGCTAGAAACTCATTTTCCCATTCTTCTTCCTTGTAGAGTGAAGGGACACGATCTAGGATGGCAAATGAAACACACTGATCTTACATTTGGAATACGGAGAGAGAGAGAAAGATTTTGGATTCAAAAGTAGCCAAGGCAGAATTACCAAGACTCCTCTTAATGCAACTTTTATTTACATCAATAACATTTACAGTGTGAGCTGTGAAATTATTGTCCAATGTGGGTGTAAGGATACAGGAATTTATCTGTAGGTAACTCACATTAAAAGTTTTAATCAGAGAATGTGGCGAATTAAAACGAATGGATATTTATATCAGAATAATTCCAAGAAATAATTCTAAGAATCATTATGATCTGAACCTTTAAACCAAGTTTTAATTGTTTAATGACCTAGGTCATATAAAGTTATTATAACAAGATTAACAAGATAATACAGTATCATTAAAGGAACAATTCAGTCTTATAACTATGTACCCTATCCATAGTATAGTTGTAAAACTGTAATCTAAAGACAGTACAGTAATAGTTATTTAACTTCCTTCTGGCTATTTTAATAGCTTGTGTACCTGATCTAAAATTTCAATCAATTAAACAGCATTTCAACATTTCTATAAAACATAATGAAAATTAAAAAAATTATTTCCTCCTTACCCATATTTTTGAAAGAAATTGTGGATATCCTTTAAACGTGTTACACTGTATAAAACAGAAAAAAAAAAAAAAAAAAACCCACAGTAGCACCGCGATGTTCATAGCACTGGTAGCATTTCACTGCATATTTATTCTTTTTGACACTTCATTTCCCAAGTTTAGAAAACTTTTGGTTATAAAAATTTGGTTTGAGCACATGACTGATCCAATTGTGCAGCTGGGTATTTTTTCCAGAAGATGAAGGAGTGAAAAACTGAAGTTCTCATAAGATTGCCAGAGGACTCCCTGTAGAACAGATTGAAGCGATTCTAGTGGGCATTGTGAATTCAGACACATATGAGAATCCAGGTTGGCCCAAAGGTCATTACAGACTCCCAGAACCATAAGCATCATTTCATTGTGGACACTTCTACTTTTAACAATTGAAATAACACTTTATACCACTATTTACCACCACAGATGACACTTCTGCCATATTTGTTCAAACTTTAGTATATATGTGAAATTTACTCTTAGGGCTTTGATTAGTATGGTCTTATCTGATGTAATCAAAGCATAATTTTAATAAGACCAAAATTTTAGATTCAATTCAGGAGCCAAAACCAAACAGAGCTGTGTTCCCCATTCAAATTTCAGCTTACATTTTAGACATATACCAAGTTCCTCCATTTGTAGCTAAAATCTGATGGGAAATTTCACTAGGAAGAGGACAAGGGAGGAGCCAATATAAAACAAAGCCAGGGACTGCAGTGGAAGGTGCCCTAATTCTGTGCTTCTCAAATGATAATGCCTATGACTTTCCTAGAGATCCTGTCAAAATGCAGATTCTCTTTCAGTAGTTCTTGTGTGGGTCTCTCAGGAGCCTTTATTTCTAACAAAGTGATAACTGTGGACATTTGCCATCCAACAGGCCTTCATCATGGGAGGACCTAGATTATCAAAGAGCCTTGATCACTGGAAAACAATAAATGGTAAATGTGGCTGGTTTGAAAAGAGAGAAGCAAGGAAGGCCAGGTGTGTTCAGGGTGGCCAGCATGGGGAGGCTTCCAAGCGAATTCAGAGGGTAGTCAGTGGTTTTGTCTTTACCACAATTTACAGAACAATTATAGAAGTATTATTGCGGGAGTTTGAAAATGATGGCAACATATTCAGTACTTTCTTTAGAACATTAACTCAGCAACATATTAGTGAGCATTCTTTCAGAAACAAAATCTAATAGACTTATTTGTAATATTTACATTTTTGTATTTAAATAGTGATTTGTAACATTCTTGACAGTAAATGTATTCATTAAAGAAAAGTTAGTTGGAAAGTAAAAGCCATATTTTTTGGTAGATTCCCTAATCGCTTATCCTTTTTTCATAGAATGTTTCTTGAAAAAGACAAAGAAATAAGACAAATAATACATAGAATACACAGAAGTCACTGAAAACTCTTCAGTAGAGAGATGTAAGCAGTTTAACGTGCTGACGTAAGTACTGACATGACACAAACTTAAATCAAGTGGCTTCATCCTTGTATAATATAATGTTGGGAATAATGAAAAGGATGAAGAGATAGATTCTAAGGTATTCAGAATTTACTGTCACTTGAACTTAGTCCCGTATTTGACGGAAATGTAGTGGTCACTGAAGGAAAAAAGTATCACTCTGTGAGTAGGCAGATAGTCATCCAAAATAGAGACTGAGAACTCAGATGCATTGAGGAGTTTGCAGTATGAGCACGCTTTGAACAGCCAGGTGCAGGTAAGCTGTTTAGATTTAGCAATACAGTTCTACAAGAGCAATATAAATATTATTTTGGAAGTCATTTAAGCAGCTGAGGATATAGTTATGAATGTCATATCTATTGGAGAGTACACTAAAAAAAAAGAAGTATAACAAGAAAAAAATTGACAGTATAATGATCTAATTTCCTTTGGGTATATATCCAGAAATGGAATTACTGAGTCAAATTGGAGCTCTGTTTCAAGTTCTTTGAGAAATCTGCAGACTGCGTTCCACAGTGGCTGAAGTAATTTGTATTCCCACCAATAGTGTATGTGTTCCCTTTTCTTGGTAGCCTCTCCAGCATCTGTTGTTTTTTGACTTTTTAATAATAGTCATTCTGACTGGTGTGAGATGATATTTCATTTTAGTTTTGATTTGCATTTCCCTGGTGACTAGTGATGATGAGCATTTTCGTATATGTCTCATGATCACTTGTGTAGTCTTTTTAGAAGTGTCTGTTCATGCACTTTGCTCTTTGGTAAATGGGTTATTTGGTTTTTGTTTGTTGATTTGTTAAATACCTTATTTATTCTGGATAGTAGACCTTTATTGAAAGCATAGTTTGGGAATATTTTCTCCCATTCTGTAAATTGCTTACACACTCTATCGATAGTTTATTTTGCTGTGCAGAAGCTCCTTTGTTTAATTAAGGATGATTTGTCATTTTTTGTTTTTGTTGCAATTGCTTTTGAGGACATAACCAAAATTCTTTTCCAATGCTGATATTGAGAAAGACCCTAGGGTATCTCCTAGGATGTTTACAGAATAAGTTCTTACATTAAATGTTTAATCCAGCTCGGGTTAATTTTGGTATATGTGAAAGGTGTGGGACCAGAGATAAGACTCAAACCTAGGTCGTCTGGCTACAAATGCCATTCTTCTTCCACCACACAGCGCCTCATCTCAACTGCATTCTGAATGAATTTGGATTTAATCACCTGGCTGTGCCAAGTTTGGTGGTAAACAGAACTGAGGAGCTGCCCCACCAGGGATAGCCCCCATCCAGTTTCCCCTTGATGCAGGTTGTGGGGGCATTCATTCTTCTAAATATGGCTAGCCAGTTTCATTCTTCGTTTGGCTAGTCACTTATCCCAGCACCATTTATTGAGTAGACTATGCTTGCCCCATTGCATTTTTTTTTTTTTTGTCAGATTTGTTGAAGATCAGATGATTGTAAGTTTGTGGCTTGATTTCTGAGTGTTCTATTCTTTTCCAGTGTTCTATGCATCTGTTTTTGTACCAGAATTATGCTACTTTGTTTATAAAGACACATATACTCATATGTTCATTGCTGTGCTATTCACAATAGCAAAGACGTGGAATGAACCTAAGTGATCATCAGTGGTAGATTGGATAAATATAACGTGGTACATATAGATCACAGAATACTATGCAGCCATAAAAAGAACAAGATCATATCTTTTGCAGCAGCATAGGTGTGGTTGGAGGCTGTAATCTTAAATGAACCAATGAAGGAACAGAAAACCAAATACCACATGTTCTCACTTCTGAGTGGAAGCTAAACATTGAGAACACAGGACATAAACATGACTGTAATAGACTCTGTGGATTAATAGGTTGGGGAGGGAGGAGAGAAGGAATCAGTGATAAAACCACCTATTGGGTACTATGCCCGCTGCATGCAAGCAATATACTCATGTAACGAAATAACAAAGCTGCCTGTGCACTCTTTATATCTAAAATAAAAGTTGAAATACAAAACTTTTTGAGAAACATACTAAAAGGTTATGAAGGCAATGGATGTCATTCGTTATATGGCCAACCCCTGGAATCCCTTTCTACCACATGGGTCTTGGTGGCAGACAAAGAATTTCACCTAGATTTGCCCAATCGAACCCATCCTACATAGAGTTGGATATAGAGAAATGGAGACAAATGTACATAGACAAAAAAAATTGTGCAAAGGCAGTTGAGGTAAAAACATAAGATTCCAGCATGTGTATCCTGTATGTACAACAATGTTGCTGAAAATATGAGCTGTGTTATTATCAGCAGAAACAGCCACATTCATGGAGTTACTGTTGGAAAAGGACTTTGGCTGCTGACTGGCTGCTTTACTTCCGTTTCTGCCATTATTTTCCTGTGGATTCCTCTACCTCCCCTGCCATTTCTATACTAGAGTCAATATCCATTCAGTAAAATTTTTCCATTGCTACCCAAAGCCCTGGATGTTCAAAAGAGAGACAAAGGAGATAACAGAAAATGGTACTAAACAGAGTGATCAAGGGAAGAAGCAGGAGGGAAGTAGAAAGCTGGCTGTTGTGGACATAAAGAGAGGAAAGATAAGTGTGACCAAGTGAAGCACAGGGAGAAATGACAAAATAAATGCTCTACAGGACAAGGAGTCCAGGGAAATCACTGTGTGTAGAAAGGAAGTCATTTTTAGTGGCTTTAGTCAGAGCATCAGTGTTGCGGGAAGTCAGGGACCCCGAACGGAGGGACCGGCTGAAGCTATGGCAGAAGAACATAAATTGTGAAGATTTCATGGACATTTATTAGTTCCCCAGATTGATACTTTTATAATTTCTTATGCCTGTCTTCACTGCAATCTCTGAACATAAATAGTGAAGATTTCATGGATACTTTTCACTTCCTCAATCAATACCCTTGTGATTTCCTATGCCTGTCTTTAATCTCTTAATCCCGTTATCTTCATAAGCTGAGGAGGATATATGTCGCCTCAGGACCCTGTGATGATTGCGTTAACTGCACAAATTGTTTGTAGAGCATGTGTGTTTGAACAATATGAAATCTGGGCATCTTGAAAAAAGAACAGGATAACAGTGATGTTCAGGGAACAAGGAGATAACCTTAAACTTTGACTGCCAGTGAGCTGGATGGAACAGAGCCATATTTCTCTTCTTTCAAAAGCAAATAGGAGAAATACTGCTGAATTCTTTTTCTCAGCAAGGAATATCCCTGAGAAAGAGAATGGCCCCTGAGGGTAGGCTTCTGAAATGGCCCCTTTAGGGGTGACTGTCTTTTACAGTCAAAGCCAAAGGGATGAAATAAACCCCAGTCTCCTGTAACACTCCCAGGCTTATTAAGATGAGGCTTATTCCCACCTAATAAATCCTGCTTATTCCCGCCTAATAAATTTTGGTCAGACTGGTTGTCTGCTCTCAAACCCTGTCTTCTGATAAGATGTTATCAGTGCAAATGCATGCCCAAAACTTCATTAACAATTTTAATTTTACCCCTTCCTGTGGTCCTGTGATCTGGCCCTGCCTCCATTTGCTATTTTTTTTACCTTGTGAAGCATGTGATCTCTGTGACCCACACCCTATCCATGCACTCCCTCCCCTTTTGAATATTGCTAATAAAAACTTGCTGGTTTTAGGGCTCAGGGAGCATCACGAAACCCTTCAACATGTGATGTCTCCCCCGGACACCCAGCTTTAAAATCTCTCTCTTTTGTACTCTTCCCCTTTATTTCTCAGACCAGCCGACGCTTAGGGAAATAGCAAACAACGCACGTTGAATATCAGGGGTGGGGTTTCCCCCAATACATCATCATGTAATAGAATAAAAGTCAGCAAATAAGGAGTGAAGGGGAAAGAAGTAGCACAGCAGTGAGGGGATAAGATAGAGTACTCTACGACACGTGGAGAACAATTTGTATTTGTCTGCTGCTCATAAACGAAAGTTTTTTACTCCATTAGAGTACTTAGGAAAAGTTCTCAAAAGTAAAGATAGATAAGTGAGAGGAAGTCATCAAGAGAAGAAAGGGATTGGAATGTGGAAATGGAAATTTGCATGGGTGAAATAAAACAAGGACGAAGAAAAATAGATACAGAATAATCACGTCATAGATGGCAAATGCAAGAAAGACACGTCAATAAAGAGGGAGACAGAAAGTATTGGAGATCCATTAAGCCAAAATAAAGGGAAAGGCTCCGAAGTCTGGGTTGAGTGCCTGCATTAACTTTGGTGTTCATTGATACTAGACAGAGCTTTGAGAGTCTTTTCATTTTCCTTTCTTTTTTTAATTCAAGTTAATTTTTCTATGGAATTGGTGTTTGATAAAGAGACTTTGACTTGAAATTTACTTATGAATTGTATACTGTTCATGAATATACTGGCACTGGCTGAAAGTTTACTCTATATTTAACTGTTACTCTACCCTTTTAATTACAGTGATTAAAGCTAAATTTCTCTAAAAATCTTGCTGCTGCTGTTGACAGCACTTTATTTTCCATCAATTTTTTGTTTGAATGTTTGATTTTTAGCAGAATCAACTAAGCAAAAGAATGAATGCTGATGCACACAATATAAAGAACAAGTGACAATAATTCTACATGGATGAAGTGAAAATGTTCAGCTGGGCATTGTGGATTTAGATATGTGTGAGAAATACAGATTATACTACAGTGTACTGAGGACTTCGGAATCATAAACATTAAGTCACTGGAAGCCAGTTCTAGTTTTCACAATTGAAATTATACTTTATGCCACAATTTTCCACAGCATGTGACACTAGTGACATTTTATGTGAACTTCAGTTTGTATATAAATTGGATGTTCTTCATCGGGAAGAATAGCTAATGGATGCTGGGCTTCCTACCTAGGTGATGGGTTCATCTGTGTAGCAAACCACCACAGCACATGTTTACCTAGGTAACAAATCTGCATGTCTTGTACATCTACCCCAGAACTTAAAATAAAAATTGATTTTTAAAAATTGGATGCTCTTAATGTTTTGATTGGTATAGTCTCATCTGAGCTAGTTATGATTTTAATAAGGCCAACGATCTAGATTCCCTTCATAAGCCACCCACGAGTAAAATTGTCCTCCTCATGCAGCTCAAACTCCAGATATTTATGTAACTTTCAGGTGAGCTGAAATCTGATGATAATAAAATAAAAATTTTATTTTTAGGCAATGATCAGGGGGAAAGAAAAGAAAAAATGAAGACAGTCTTGCAATGTATTCAGTCATAGGTGGTGCTCTTACTATGCCTTCAAAATGTCATTCTGTCTTTATATCCAGTTAGAATGTGTGTGTGTGTGTGTGTGTGTGTGTGTGTATGTATTTTTTTTCCATAAAGTCTAGGTGTAAGTCAATGACTGACTTAACTCCAACTGCTCCTTCTCTCTGTTACCACCAAATGAGATCTTCTCGCCTGCTACCCAGATAGAGCCAATTATCAATACAGGGCAATTGCAATGAGAAAAAGTTTAATACACACAAACCTGGCTAAATGGGAAAACAGAGTTTAATTATAACTCAAGTCAAGCTCTCCAAATATTCAGAAGCTAGAGTCTTTCCTTTCTTCCTTCCTTCCGTCTCTTTTTCTTTCTTTCCTTCTTTCTTTCTTTCTTTCTTTCTTTCTTTCTTTCTTTCTTTCTTTCTTTCTTTCTTTCTTTCTTTCTCTTTCTTTCTTTTCTTTCTTTCTTTCTTTCTTTCTTTCTTTCTTTCTTTCTTTCTCTTTCTTTCTTTGTTTCTTTCTTCTTTCTTCCTTCTTCCTTCCTTTCCTTTCTTTCTCTCTCTTTCTCCTTCTTTTTCACTTTTTTTTGAGACAGGGTCTCACTTTATTGACCAGGTTGGAGTGCACTGGCAGGATGTCTGCTCACTGCAGCCTCTCCCTCCTGGGTTCAAGTGATTCTCATGCCTCAACGCCAACCCCCGCCCCCCGCCCCAAATAGCTAGGATTACAGGCATGCACCATCACGCCTGGCTAATTTTTGTATTTTTAGAAGAAACAGAGTTTTGTCACGTTGGCCAGGCTGGTCTCAAACTCCTGGCTTCGCTTGATTTGTCTGCCTCGGTCTCTCAATGCGCTGGAATTAAAGGCACGAGCCATTGCACCCAGACAGAGTCTAAGGGTTTTTATAGATAGTTTTTCAGACAGAAGGCTAGGAAATGGGGAATGCTGATTTTTTTGGTTTGGGGATAAATGCATATGAGTCAAAGCTGTCCTCTTGCAGTAAAACAGTTTCTGGAAAAGAGCTACAAGATCAGACAAGTGAGTTTACCAGTCTGGATGGCGCGACGTGTTTCATCACAATGCAGGGTCTAAAAACCTTAGGTTTTACAATAGTAATGTTATCTACAGAAGTAATTAGGGACATTAGGAATCTTGTGGCCTCTGGCTGCATGACTCTGGAGCCATAATATCTAATCTTGTGGCCTGGACTCCAAGCAAGGAGGAGGTTTGCTTTGACGAGGGGCTCTTACCATTTTGTTTCAAAGTCACATACTATAAACTAAATTTTTTCCAAATGTAGTTTTGCCTACATGTGGGAATGAGGAAAGTAAGCTTGGAGTTTAGAAGTACTGTCTAATTTTCCTATTTCAGAATCACTGTGAAAATATTCTTATGTAAGATTTTTCTCATTTTCATGTTATGAAATGTTTTCTCATTTTCATTTCATTATGTTCTCTATATTATCCTCTACCTCATAACTCTGAGTCTATTAAGTCTTTTGCTCAGTTATGTTTTCACTTGTAAGAGTAAAAGAAAAATAGTTAGTTGCCTTATAAAGTCAGCTCATCAGATGAACCAGGCCTACCTTCTTTACCCATTTTTGCACCTTGGTCAAAATCTGAGCTCAGAGCAATAGTGAAAAATATCCAGTCCAAATATATGCCCCAGAAATTTTCTGTGGAATTTCTAATTCTTCTTGGATCATATGATTTAGGACTCCCTGATCTGTACCAGTTTATTCACATGATCCTGGAACCTAGAGAAGCCTGTAACTGAAGCTAAATGTTACATACCTAAGATAGACAACAAAGATCCAATCCCTCAATCTTCCAGGGAAAGACCAAAAGTGCTGAAAAATAAATAATCTCTTAGAATTCATCCCCAAAGAATTTCTTCAAAAACTCACATGTCTGTCATGCAATCAAAAAAAAAAAAAAAAAAAAAAAGGATAAGCCAGTCTCTGAATATAAGGCAAGAATAGAAGTACTATTTGTAAAACATTGTGGTCAATCTATGCTAAGTTCAGGCATAGAAAATCCTTGTCCTATTCACTGATAAGATCACCCTGAAATCTTTAATGTAGTTACAAAACAAAAGCTGGGATGATATGTGAATGATGGGGCCAAATAACTACCAAAATATTTTACCTATTGGCATAAAGACTATTTTGGCTTGGTTGTTTTGAGATTCCCTTTAGAAGAGAAATTTAAAGGAATCTCCATTTGTAAAAGATCTACATATCTGGTCCAGGAAGAGTGGTAGGACTAAACCTCTAAATAATGGAGAAGGCGAAGGCATTAACTTAATCTATATCACAAAACTAACCTTTCTTCAAGGTGGTTATCTTAGCTGTCTTCTTGTCTTAGCTGGGTCTCTATCAGCATTCTTTTTGTTTATTTGTTTTGGAAAATGAAGTCTGGAATCTAAGCACTATGATTTTAATATGTAAATATTCTTACATGTCTACTGTAAGAAATGAGACCTTTATAATTTTATATGCAAATTTCAAAGAGAAGTCACATCTGAAAAAAAAAGTGGCATTTGTAAATGGGGCTAATGAAAAATAGTAAAAATATTTTCCAAAAATATTAATAAAGAGCTTTGGTCATCTGGACAGGACATCTTCTTCCAACTATGAGAAACACAATTCATGTCTAGATAGTCTTACAAATTACTAAGTTTGTTTTTTTTCTTTCTTTTTTTTTTTTTGAAATGCAGTTTTTTTCTGCCAGCCAGGCTGGTGTGCAGTGGCCTGATCTCAGCTCACTGCAACCTCTGCCAACTGTGTTCGAGCGATTCTCCTGCCTCAGTTTCCCAAGCAGCTGGGACTACAGGGATGCACCACCATGCCTGGCTAATTTTTCTATTTTAGTAGAGACAGGTTTTTGCTATGTTGGCCAGACTGATCTCAAACTCCTGACTTCAGGTGATCCACCTGCCTTGGCCTCCCAAAGTTCTGGGATTACAGGCAAGAGCCACTGTGCCCAGCCTTAAGTTTGTTATCATTGTACCTGATATGGCTACAATTTTAGAATGAACACCGTAATATTTGCTTCTTTCTGTATGTCTATTGTGTCTCCATATGTTTGTATGTGTGACATTTTGCTACCTTTGGATGGTATTGCAAAATTAATTAGTAATAGAGCTCTATTCACTTGGCCTATAGAAGAATATGTGCTTATATGAATTAAGGATTCCTTAAACTCAGAAAGATAGAAATTCACCAATATATTTTTCAGGTTCACACGATCTGTGATAATCTCTGTTCAATCAAAGCTACTTTATGTTTGTTGGTTTTACTAGAATAGACATGGCTTTAGAGTTTTCAGAATTAAATATAATACAAACACACAACTTTCATATTAGCTGAGTTTCCTAGTCAAATAAGTTTATATTATCTCTACCTGATGTTTAAAGTCATAAAACTAAGAGTTCAACTTAGCAACCTGTGTGAAAATATAATAGCATCTACTTCATATATATCAGGCACAGCAATAAAACAAACAAAAAAAACCCCTATATATTTGACTTTTAGATTTTTGTTTTTATGATGACTTACTGACATAAATGTATTGTAAATATAGTTAACAAAAGAGTAATTTGAGAGGATGCCTGGTTATGTCTTATGTCTTATGAAATTTTCGTGAGTAACCCAAACAATTCAGAATAAGTGAATTAAATAGATGTAAGTACAATATACATTTCTAAATGAACTTTTAAACCATAATTATGTTTAATGATAAGTCTGCTTAAAAATATCTTTCCACTTCTCTGTGGTAAATGATATTCTTAGAAAGTCACACCATTGAATTAATATTATCAATACTCATCGAATATCTGGATAATTTCCAAATAAATTTTTTAAAAAATATTGATTGCTGAATATATGCTTATCTATTTTGGACTTCTTCTTATAGAAGAAATAAAAAATGTGGGTTCATTACCAAGCATGTCCTGTGCCACATTGAAAAACTATACAACAGGAAACACATGCTTCTAGAAATTATGAAATTGTATATTCATAGATTTGCCAATCTGTAAAATACTGATGTGATGCATATTTGTCAATTGCCTCTATTCCAGAAAAGAAAGTTACTAAGAGTTTAGAATTCGAGTTAATGTGTAGTCATTAATACTACTAAATAACATAAAGGAAACATCCCTGTATGCAAAGTATCTGTCTAATCTCAACAGATTTACGGGAAAGGCTCTGACAAGTAAAGATTTCTGATAACATTAGAAACACAACACGAGACCAGAATTAAAGAAACTTTGCAAACAATTTGGCTAAGTATACCTTTTGTAAACAGAATTAATACATTTATCTTCTTCTCCGTAGCTGATATCTCCAGAATTCAGAAACCATCATTGAGTATTGTTATTTTGATTGCAATATAGGTATTTGCAAAATTTTAATCAGAATCTGTTCTCATAATATAACATAATTGTGGTAATATTACTACTACTGTCACTGGAATGTCATATTGGAGAATGTGCAAAAATTAGATACGACTGGAGAGATTTAAGAAACTAAGAATTGACTTTATGGAGCCAATTATGCCCTGCTTTATTCCATTTAGCATTGTAATAAATTCTTGAGGCTGGGTAATTTATAAATGAAAGGTATTTGTTTGGAGAACAATTCTGCAGGCTATACAGAAAGCATGGATTAAATGC